ATGCATATGTGAATACAAGACGTTTTAAACGAATCTCCCGTATTAAATTTTGATTACGGTACTTGGTGAAAGTTAAAATCTCCGGAGGCGATTGATTTCATCGTGAAGGTTGGTAGTTAATTGAAGACAAAAAATGTAAGGATGTCGGAACCTCTGACTCGATTCACATGACTAGTAACGGAACCTTTGCTCGATTTCACGTTATGTTAATTAATTTTATTAAAATAAATAATGTAATAGAATTAAAAAAAAAAACTTCCACATTTACAATAATAAATAATCATATAATTTTAAAATATATATTTTTAAAAAATATCCAAAATTTAAAATAATAAATAGGTGTTATCCATATATGAAATGAAAGGGGGAATTTGGGACAAGATGACATAAATGAACCTTGGAACTCAAAGTGAAAGGGCGCGTGAAGGCACTGGGCGAGGGAAGATTGGGTGGGTGAGGTTCCATGTGATGTATGGTGGGGAAAGGTGAAGATTTTAGGTGTGTGCGGTCCCATGTTGTTGATGTGTTTCTCGAGAAAGTGGGTTTGACCGGTCCTCTACACCAGCTACTTATACATACACATACACTCTCTCCTTTACCGTTGTGTCCTGTAAATCCATCCATACGATGTTTTACGCTTTTAAAAGGCTTAAATAAACCTTTAAATATTACAACAAATTTATTGTGTGAAAACAAAAGTTAAAATAAGAAGCGTAAGAGAGATTTAAACTCTTGATCATATTTAATGTCAAATAAATCATGTATGATATATTAATTTATCTGATGCATTTCATTGTAACGTGTATTCGAGGGTGAAAATATTTTTTATTTGTTTTTTTTATATATCAATTTCAAGATTTATTTTTTATATTTTAAAGAATAATTTAATTTGATTTTAATATAAAAGAGGTGTGTATATAGAATTACCTTTAATAGATTTTTCAGAATTTTCTAAAAATAGAGAATTAAAATTCAAAATCTTTAAAAAAATAAATTATATTTAACT